AAATGTTGAGATGCTGCGACAGGCTATGAAATTTACACTCCTAAAGTTTAGAAGATGTTTGAGTAAGAATAAGTGAAAGTCGGGATTTCAAGATTGAAAAGATTAGCAAATACGAAGTTGAAGCATAATATAAAGTGAAATATGATGGTAGAACTACTTAGCACAAAGTCCACTTTGACTTTGAGTATGCTTCATGTTGGGGGATATTGCAAAGAGTGGAGGTAAAGCAAGGGCATGGCGAAGCCCAACGAAGATAGGTGTGGTTACCCATAGGGAGAAGCCCAACAATGGGCCTGCCGGGCCAAGTTTTGAAAGCAGATGTTGAGATACTACGAGTCTACAACAAGCCTATGAGATTTACACTCTTTAAGTTTTTAAAATGTTTGAAGTAGAATATGTGAAAATTTGGGAGTGCACGATTAAGAAAATTAGCAAATATGAAGTTGAAGCATAATATAAAGTGAAGTATGATGGTAGAACTGCAGAGCACAAAGTCCATACTTTGTGTCTGCTTCCCATATAGTTGAATGTAGTTGCATGAAATTCAACTATGTAGGGATTTCGTGTGCTTATGCTTTGAAAGTCTTGGACAAGAAATCCTTGGGCAATAAATAATACTAAGATGGACAAATTATGCAAAAGTCGGGGTCTTTAGAAGTTCACGATCTTTTCAAGCCTTTGGAAGTTCTGAAAACTCCGTTGAAAACAATATTTCACCTTGAATTACGATTTTCAAGAAATTTATACACTTGCAAATTGCAATTGAGAGTGATGCTATGTATGGTCATCCAAGTGAAGTTTTTTCAAAGTCGTTGCGAGAAAATCCTCAAGTTCATGGGGTTTTATTCACAATGACACTCCACAGTTTTAAACTGCCAAGGATGTTTACTCGGATTGTGAAGACCATCCAATTGCAGTAGCAATTAAGATGAAAACAACAGTAGGACACCCGAAAAAGAGACCGACAGGTGGCATTGGAACGTTGAGTTATTTTCTTTGCCTACTATATTGACTATTGAATAAGAAGAAGAAGACTCGGGTTTCTCAACAGGGACAAAGTGATATTGAAATCCAATATCAAAACAAAGGTTCGTTCTATTCTAATTTATATTATTTGCTTTAAAATTTTACTTCGTTACATCAGTGGTCTAATAACTAGTTGGACCTCTTTGACAATTGACACTTAAAAATGTTGATTAGGCTAAGAAGTGGGCAAATAATATACTATGTTTGTAATAAATGTAGAATGCTTCTGCTCATAATTATTTGGAGGCACCACCACCGTCCACCTGTGGGGTATTCTTATAATCCAAGTCATATATATTTTATGATATCGAAAATGAATTTATTATATATAAATTTATTTAATTTCGTATCCATTTGTTATCTATATCTATATATATATACATGTCTCTGCTCAAATTTGTCCATACAATTTTATATTATGCGATGGATTCATTTGGACATGGCAGTTAACGGTATGGGTTTATTTCATAGTTTCTGGCATGTTCTCTTGATACAATTCCCTATATATTGCAATCTTAATTAGCTTTATTTTCCCACCGCACCGGTTCATCATGAACATATACACAAGGTAAAGGTAACATTAATCCTCACTACTCACTCTTAATTGTAATTAAGAGTTGTGCTGGTGGGTAACTTATACTATGCCCCTAAAAGTTAATCCATTATTCCCCCAAGTTTTTGTTTTTGGATTTGTACCAAATTGATGAGATGATTTTCAAATACATGTCTAGTGTATTACTTGTCAATTTGAAATACATTTCAACAACTAGTAATTTGGAATTCCTCGTAACTAAAGATTGAGTCTATTTGTAAAAGAGTTTAGGTACTGAAGTGTGAGGCAAAAAAATATAAAGGTACCAAACATAATTTTACCATCAAAATCTCTGAACATTTACCATACATCAAAATGGACGAAGAAGTTACTTCACAATTATAGTCTCATGAAATCATTTAACCCAACAAATTCGAGCATTCCACAAAGGCGAGATCAACATTAAAGTTTAAACACACAATCATTAGTGTCACGTAAAGTAAACGTGCGATTATTATTGTTGGGGGTGTTACTGAAAAATATATATAAGCTTGGTACTCGCCTTCAATAAATCAAACAAACATTAATGAACTTACCATGAATTCATGATGAATTGGATTTGAGTTCCAAATCAACCACCCAAAACCACATAAACAGAGCAACCTAAAAGCCATGACAACTCTAATGTAGCATATCTGAATGTTATTATAGAGGACAACAAACAACAACCCGCAAAGGAAGCAAAGATCATAGCAATCGCACAGTAATATAACAGTAAAAAAAATTGTGGTATATCTGTATTCTATACAAGTTATCTTATGGGTTACTTACAACAGCAGCAAGCAAAGGTGAGTTGACACATCTTGTTCTTGACAGGGCGGGGAAGATAGCAAGGAAAGCAGTGGCGGAGCCAGAAAATTGGTCAAGAGGGTGCTTCTTCATGTCATGAAAAAATCAACTATATAATAGAAAAGTCAACTCTAAACGAAAATATGAAAATCAACTTCATTATATGACTAATTCAGTCTATGTAGTTAATTTGGAGATGAAATTGAGTATAACAAACACACAAACCTAACCCTAAATTAACACAAATACTAAAATTTTCAAGTAATTGAAATTAAAACTTAGATTTTACTTTGTTGTTAAAGATTGATGATGTCAAACAAAGTAATTTTGTGTTGCTGGCTTGTTGCTCTCCTACCCTGCTCACGATTGAAAAGAGAAGGATTTTTGGAGGTGAAGGACGGAGAATGAAAGTCTGGAGCCTAGAAATAGTTTGGATTTGTTGGGTAGGAGCCGGAAATATGGGTGGTGGGTGGAGGTTCGACGAGCTTGGAGCCGGAGATGGAGAGCATGGGGGCTGGAGGATGGATAGCTTGGAGGTTGGGCGAGCTCGGCTTGCAACTCGCAGCGCCTCTGCTACCGCTGGGTGGAGGAAGAACGAAATTGTAACTGGGGATTGCTGGGATAGATAATTAAAGTTTTGCGTTTTGATATTAGGACAGATAATTAACAATAATATAATTAAACATGTATGTATTATAAATGAAAAACTCTTAGTCGGGATGGTAAAGATTTCTCATTGTCAACCACTAAATTAGTGGTTCGATCCTTGCTTCCTACTAACATATATTGGATTTTTTTTCCGGTCCCAAAGCCAAGGGGGGTGCATGCACCCCCCTCAAGTATGCACAGCTCCGCCACTGAAGGAAAGGAAAGCTATTTACAGCCGTTGCAGGGTAAAGCAGAGCATTAATTGGTTGGGGTCAAGTTGTCAACCCGCGGGTCGACCCAATTTGACTCTGACCCGGTGAGAAAAACGGGCCGCAGGCACCCGCCGGGCCGATCGCTACAAGGTACCGGGTTGGAGGTCAAATTCGGTCATTTTTTTCTTTAGTTTGCGAAATGCGCCTATTTTCCAATTTTTCTTTTCTCCTAACTCAATCTTTGGAATCCTAAATTGAACATTTGAATATTCAAATTATATAAGTGTGTGTGAATTTTCACTATATGTTGGATCTAAGTACGATATGTTATTTTGGTGTAATATTATATGTTATAACTCATATGTTAGATAAGATTTGATATAATTTATGAGGATAAGTACAATATAATGACTCTTTCCATATTTTCGGGTCAAAACGGGCTAAAACGGTTGACCCAATAACCCTTGACCCACTAGCTCGACCGGGTCCGGGTCAACCTGCGGGTTGACAAACTTGATTGGGGTGCTGAAAATCCCCGACTCTCGAGAAACTTTCACCACAACTCCACGCTTCCCCAGCTAGCTAGTGTAGGGGAAACCAGAGCTTGGACGTTCAACAGCTAGCAGCTAGATATTCAACATTGCTTGCATCTTGTGATTTGAAAGGCGGGTGGCGAAGAAGAAGATATCACATATCTTTTGATCGCTGCTACCCAATCCCTGCTGCAGCTAATATTTTGCTTTTCTTGTGTGAAGTTAAGTGAAGAGAAGAGGAGGTAGGAGCAATGGTCGCGGCCACTCCTTTGGCGGTAGGGAAAGGGCTGATGTGATTTGTGAGAGCATAGCTTTGCAGGCCGTTTTCATTGCAAAAAGAGTTATTATTAAATTACAAACATAGCATGCAAAGTAGAGGAGATTTGCTTTGTTGTTTTAACGTTACGTAGGGTATGGTGTACCTAAAAAAAAATTGAATTGAATTGCTTACTACCCTAGTTAGTTGGTTGCGTAGGGTACGCTTTGTTATTATAAATATATATAAAGTTATTATCATAACCCAACCCATAATGATGGAGAAGTTGAGGTGTATTGGGTAAATCGGATATCACCAAAAGTATGATCTCTGGGTCGTTTGGAAGACGAATTCTAATGGATCAATCTGACACAATTGTCTCGTTTTGAGTCAATTGTGCTAGATTGATCCGTTTGGCAGTAGAAAATTTGGATGAAGCAATTTGGGCTGGGGAATTCTGAATTGACTCATTTTGAGCCAATTACAATTGTCTGGGGTGGGGGCAGGTAATCTGAATTGACTCGTTTTAAATGACTCGTTTTGTAAAATGAAACAATTGGTCAAATTGTCTCGTTTTACAATTGATCCATCCAAACGACCCCTGAGTTAATTCTAAAAATATAACATAAGATGTGAATGGGTTGTTCATTTTTACGAACTGTCAATACTCGTCAGAAATGTGTCAATCGGGACCATTGGATCTCAGAGTCTATCTCGTACGATTGTTTTAATATGTGTACTCATGGTATGGAAAATGTGAGGAGTAGGTATGGAAGTAGAGCCTAGTTGTTGAGAGGGTTTAAATACATACTAGATTGTTTTGCGGCATTGATAAGAATTTTATGTGTTATACTGATCAAAATATCATAATCACTAATAACAAGTAACTGTTGAAACTCAATCCCAAATTCCAATTCTATAAAATAGTACGCGTACTCGACAATATCAAATATCGATAAATTTAATATGGTGTTCAATGTATCTACTTTATGGTAACTCTCGATGCTCAATTTTGGATGCACAATACTTAACCACAATGTCATTCCAACAAAATAGAGTAGAAGGTAGAGATAAAATCAACTAAATAGGTGGTTTCTCAACCAAAAAAAAAAACTAAATAGGTTATTCTTGTCATTACTGTTTAAATAATTATTATTTTCTTTACATATTTTGTCAAAATCGGCACAAATCGATATCCGATCTTATTTACAGATCTGCCATTTCACTTCTATCCTGCAAAATATCAATCGCGCGTGCAACACACTGTAATAGTAAAGGAAGGTGAGAGCTGGAAATTTTATTGATCAATTCTTCCACCAAAAAGAAAGGAAAAAAAACACACAGCACCCTCCCTCGCGTTTCCGCCACCGCCCGTCGGCAGAGTCGGTTCTTCCACCGAAATGCACAACAGAATGCCAAATCCGACCCAGTTGAAGCCGGTGGGTTGGGGGACATCGACGGGCAACGAGAAGGTTCCGAACTATAAATTTTGTCCGCCGAACGCGGCCCGGAAAAGGTTTCGAAGAGCGCGGAAGGTCAGTTCGGGGAATACTTTGGAGAAGAGGGGAAAGGCCGAGAAGAAACCAGCGCAGTTGGAAGGTAATCTTCTCATCTTTCTCCATTCGAGATCGCCATTGTCGATCAAGTTCGTCTTTCCACTGTTCCGAATTTCCGTTTTTCGTGATCTCCGATTAAGATCGTCGAGATCTATCTCTGCACCAGTTCTTTGACGAATTATAGCCCGTGTCGATCTTGTTCGTCCTTATCTATCCAAATTCTATTTCTCGCGATCTCCATTAGCTGATTTAGCTCTTCCAGATCTAGCAGTTCTTTAATCGAGTTTCTGCGATTTTTGATCATGTTCGCTTCTCTGATCAAAATTTCTATTTCTCGTGATATCTGTAAAGCTGTTCGAGATCTATCTGATCACCAGTTCTTTAACGACTTTCTGTAATTGTTGGTCCTGGTTCTTCGTTTCACTGATGTAAATTTCACTTGTTTGATTATTGCGTTTGTGCAGAAAGGTGGTGTGGTTGTCGATTGCGCAAGTGTTGACTGCGATTTCTCAGACTCAGAAATCTGTTCTGAGTGTAGCCTACAAGAACAAGAAGTTCTTGCCTCTCGATCTTCGTCCCAAGAAGGCCAGAGCCATTAGGAGGAGGCTTAGCAAGCATCAGGTACTTCTTTTGATTCTACACATTTCGACCATTGTGATTATGCAATTTGAGTTGCAATCAACTGGGATCCCTTGTTGAACCGTGGGTTTGGCTAGCATCATCACCTGCGATTTACTGTATGAATCTGAAATATTGGTTGCCTGATAAAAAATCTGTGATTTCTGATATTTCTCGATCTCTTGTTTTCCATTCCATCCATTTGCCATATATTCTTTCTTTATGATGTAGGTTTTCTGTTTTAGATCGCGATTTCTCTTATGCTCTTTGCTGTTCCTGTATTTACTTTGTTTTCATGGATTCTTTGTGATTTCTGTGTGGTTGCTACTACTTGGAATGTGTAATACTGCTCAGATTGATTTCGAATTCCTTTTTCTAACAGATGTTGATTTTAAGTCTGATTGTTGTTATTGGCAAATTTGTGTTGCAGTAGGGTTTATATCGGGAACTATGGAGTTCATAACAGGTATATATCTATTTTATAATTCTCTATGCTAGTTTGACTAGAGCTTCTGATTGAAGCTGTGGAAGAAGTTGGAATAGGGAAGTGGGAGCTGGTGAAGGAAAGGAAGAACCTGTTTCGTAGTTTCTGCTATTAAATGTCAATGGGAAACTCTTGTATCGATTGACAAGGGCGAAAGCTGGCTACTTGGAGCTCTTAACATTTGAGCAATTGGGTCGTGTCAGGGCAGCCAACGTTGTGAAGTAGGTTGGTTGCTGCTGTATTTTGTCTTCTTTCTTATCCAGGTATATCTTTCAGGTTTTGCTTCTTTTTCTTTTTCTATTTAGATTTGGTGTTTTTTCCAAACCATTATTACTGGCTGTGCTTTCCTTAAATGTTTGTAACACCTGAACCTTTACAGGTAGCAGTAGGGAGACAGAGGAGAGCCTGCGGAGTGGAGTCTTTGGAAGCTGCAAGTGCTGGAAGGAACATTGTGGAGAGGATGGGATGGGAAGCTATAGTTGATTTTCTTTTCTTGTGCATGAGATTGTAGTGAAGAGGTTTAGCTTGTTTGTGTGGGGTTTTGGGAGAGGCTGTTCTGTATAGATTTGGTATATTCCAAACCTTTAAGACAGGTTTTGTTGCTTTTCTCAGTGGTTTGAAGTACCTGCAACTTCAAATTCCTGTTTACAGGAATTCAGATCGTACATTCTATCCCTTGTATAAACTTCTTTTCAGAGTTTTGTGCTACTTACTAATCTGCATTTCAGTAGAGCCAACTGGTTATTTCTTGGTTCATCTCAGTGCTATGCTTTAATTTTTACTTTTTATTCCCCTTGTTTCTCATCTTGCTGAATGGTGTAGTGGTAACTGGTAACACTTGCTGTAGGTGATGTAAAGATTTAAGTGGAGGGGTCTCGTTGTTGGCCTGAATATGGTTCTGGTGGTTTTTCTGGGATACCTTTTGGTTTGTTGGCCTGAATATGGTTTTGGTTTACCATTATAAAAACTAGATTAGTGGAGTATTGTGTAGCTATTGTATAAAGTAGCCATGGTATACTTTATCTAGGTATAATTTTAGATACTATACAAGTGATCTCATTTAATTTGGTAAAGCTATGAATGATACCAATAAATACCTAAATCATAATGAACACATAAACTAAAATATACAACTCATTTCTCAAGTATAAAGGTATATATGAGGAAAATAAATTATATATAAGAATCAAACATATTGACTACATAAATATCATCCGTTAATGTACTGAATCAATTAGCATAAGGATATAATAGTTTGACAACTTAATAATAGTCAATCATTCGAATCGTAATCAAATCGGTTTTATTGTTAATACATATTTGAAATGGATATATGTACATTATTTTCATTTTTGGTTTCGTTGTTGAATACTAATTGCAGAACATTCCCATAATGTATAGGGTCCATATCCTAAATGAGGATTAGACAACAAAATTAAGATCTATGGAGAGGTAACCCTTAATCTTTTATTTCTATCCTACCGGAAATCTTGACCAAGATTAGCCAAGAAAACAGATAGTATAATGTTAAAATATAAGTTATTATGGTGTGATTGAACTAATATGAGGATGTATGTTTTAATCTGCTTATCAATGATTTTTTTATGGTTATTGGTTAAATGAAAATTTCAATAAACTCAAACACCCTATAATAATTACTTAAAAATTATTATATGCAACTGTCACCAAACACAATTTAGTATTAAGATATTAGCTTAGCACTATAACAACACTAATTGTACAAATAACCTATATTTTCCTTAAAAGAAAAGACTCTGTCTCAAAGTAGCATACCCTAAGACCTAAGTTGTTCAAATTTTATCTAATATCCAAACAACTTAAGGGTAGGCTAAGTTGTTCAACACTAACCAACCGTTTCATTTCATTTTGGCGAAATTTACTATTGGGTTTTGAATTACCCTATCAAGCATCTAGGTCACATTTATTAGCATAATTATACATCTCCTTTTTTTTTATTACCCAGAACCTCAACCCCACATGCCACAAAGTGGCAGCGTTGTCTACTTAACCTGGGGAGTACCTGCATCAGCAACATTTCAAGGCCTAGCATCTGATACTAGGAGGAGACTTCGTCTCCGGGAACACCAAGTGGTGTAGCGGGGTTCGAACCTGAGACCTCACACATCTCAAGCCCGAAAGACCACACTCTCGGCCAACTCGGCTGTGTTACCTTTGGCAATTATACATCTCGTTTTATTTTGTAATAAAACATCTATTTATCAAGTAAACTAGCTTTGTGCCCGGCCATTGGCCCGGTAAATTTTATTATTAATAATTATTCAACGGTATAATTAAATAATATTTAGTTAGATAATATTTTTTTGTCGATGTGTGTAATTATAAAATTGTGTTTCTAGGATGAGACTTATTATAGTTTCATCTGAATTTTGACACGATATCAATACAATTTTTCACTTAAATTGTTCTATCGTAAATCAATAAATTTTAATCGCTAAAGTAAGAACCTTATACATATTGCTTTGTAAAAGTAGTTAGCTGTAAATGATTAATGAGTTTTAAACTTGTACTACTTGGGTTTCTATGTATTTACTAATATACTATATTGTTTACCCAACAACTCAAGTTTGGACCTTATTGTTTGGTCCTTTTTCATATGCATTTCTTGCGAAGTTCCTAAATAAATCTATTAATATTTTAATTTTTTTGTAAATGATAATATCATAAAAATGAGTTCAGTACGGAAAAGGAATAAACATCTCAGTATGCATAATTTAGCAATTGATTAGTTTAACTGAAATTTTGAACGTAATGTATATTTTCAAAATTAAGCCTTTGTCATATCAACTACATCCACGTTTTATTACTTATCATTCCATTATGATTTTTGAATTACATTATATCTAAAATAATATTTGAAAACTTGAGGATTTGAATTCTTAATATTTAATATTAGGATTGGACTAAACTTTGACTTACACTACACGTATACATAGGGAAAGAAAGATTAGAAATATAACGAAAACAAAGGAAAACCATTCGGTGTGTATTAAATTATGTGATTTTCTATAACTAGCTTGAACCCGGCCATTTGGCCGGATAAATTTCAATGGTCTATGAAATATTTCAACCTTCTAAATTTTTATGTTTTTATTACCCATTATTTAAAATGTGTTATTTTGTATATTTGATGTATGAAGTACGATCTTTTGATTTTAATATACACATGTTTGTTCTGATTCTATTATAGAATTCTACTAAACAAACTCTAAACACTCAACCATTAACTTTTAGTATTTCATGTAAGTAACATATACTTCGGTAGAATATTCGTCTTACGAATATCCCAAAAAAATTTCAATCCAAGTGCTTCATAGTTGCATAAAAGGTTTCTATCCCGTTAAATGACATTAAAGACACTCTTAATTAGGGATGGCAGTGGGTCGGGTTAGGTCGGGTTTTGCCAAACCCAAATCCAAACCCGCTGGGTATCCGCGGGTTTATGGGTACCCACGGGTTTTTGTCGTAAAAAATTTACAATAACAAGTTCTTATCAAAATTAAAGTCAAATATCAATCTCTCAATACAAATTATCCATATATAAAACATCATTCTAGAAAATTCAAGCAAATCACAAATTAACTATACAAATTATTCAACGCCAATCTAGAAAACACAAGACAATTGAAGCAAATCACAAATTATCCATAAATCTCGGTTCTTCCCTACCCCGCAGGGAAGGATCACGACCACGTGGAGTTTTTTTGGGAGGGAAATTCATTATGATTGGTTGAATGAGGTGCTCACGTGGAGCCACCGAGTGAAGAGAGAATTTGAAATGGAGAAGCCTTATTTGGATAACTGTATAATATATTCTTTTTTTTTTTTTTACAAATAAAACTCAACTTTTATTCCACCATAAGAAACACGCTAAGGCTATTACAATATTAGAGGAGAACAGAAATTAGATCAAGAATATTATAATATATTCTTTTAGAAGATTTAGATTCTACCTTTTTCCGTTGTATATAAAATATAACTTTTTAACTTTTCTTTTATTCTTTTTCCTTTGACTCCTTCTCTCTTACTATTCAATTCTGCACATCAGTTCCAGATTAGGGATTTGCAACCCATCTCTTTCAATCAATCCATGCCAGATTTACAATCTTCTCAGCTTTAGGGTTGATTTGTTCTTTTCCTCTCTGGACGATCTAGTTTAATTGCTATTCAATCTTTTCAAAATCCCACTTAAAGCTACAAAGTAAAGGCGCAGAGGAGGAAATCGACGTAGGGGAGATGGAGCAAAGTGGCAAGGAGAGAAAGTTCAAAACTTCATGACAACGTGGTTCGATTGCTACAGATGAACTACATGGAGAAGTTTCTCCCTATTTTTCGAATGGAAAATAGAAACTACACAAGAACAAAACTGCCACAATCTTCAAGAACACAAAACTAATAATTCCAAAACCAATAATGCATTGATCCCCTCATCAGTCATCATTGTACCATCAATTTGAGTCAAACATATTAGATTTGTTTGTGCAGAAAATGGGTGTAAACCAAAACGTTAATGCATTAAAATATTGTATAACTCTTTTTCCGCGAACATCATATGACACCCAACAATACGCCAAAATGTCACACAACTGCCAAAGAAGTTAATACAAACGGTGTCTTCTTATGATGGTAATGGCTACCAGCATGAAAGCACAACTCCGTTGCATCAAAACAGCTACTCACTGTGGCAAAATCATAAAAGGCAAAGTAGAAGAAAATGCATGGAATATATGACCATCCTATCACTTACATTGAGCTGGTACTACAACAGCTTTGATCAATGATAAGCCAGTGCATCCAAGCTATTCTCCCGTACACCCATTTTCAGATATTGCCTTCGTCGTCGCTACCGGTGGCGGAGTTTCAGTCATAACCTACAAAACACATGTCCTCCCAAATTGGGAAATCAATAAATCAGAAGGGCAGATACTTAATCACCAAAGAAGCTATACTGAAATCAATAAAGTAAGATTCCAGCTCTCCCATACTTCTCTTGTGCTTGTGTTTATGGCTGCCTAGAAAAAACCATTTCACTTATCTGGTTTTTAAAGCAGCCTCAACATCAATGAATTGGAAATGATGATCTGACTTGGTTTCTTAGCAGCTGCCAAGTACGTTTCATCACCAAAACGCCTATCTCAACGCAGTCCTTACAGTTTTAGGAGTTGAGATCATTGACTCCTGCTGTAGTGTGATATATCAGCGTGAGGGTGTCAGATGAGTGGGAGGGGCAACTCCAGAGGCGCTAAGTTCGCAATTGTAGTAATGGTTGCAACATCTCCATCATTGGGGTTCTGCTATTCCTTGTTTGACACAAAAGAAACAGAGGGGTAGGGAAGGCAAAGACAGAAGCAGAAGGAGGTATTCAGTCGTCGAGATATCAATGGAAGAGGAGACACAGAGCATAACCAACTGAGACTAAGCAAAATAGGGGCTAAAATCCAGCAGCCAGCTTTCAGATTTCAATGGTAGAAGAAGAAACTGAACATAACCCTCGTATTGAACAGAAAACCCAACTCAAATCTTACCTCTTGAGATTCACGGAGGGAATTTGACGGATGAGTGAAAGATGTAAGGCCTTTTTGTGGCCCTGGAGCAACCTGAAATCATGATAATACAGAAGCGGCAGCATTAAAAAAAGTACAGAAGCAGAATTACAGCATGAGAAGAAAAAAGCGCAGCTGCGGCAGCAGAAAAACAAAGGAAGCTAGGAAAAGAAGGGTTCTGACTTCACCAACAAAATGGAATAACTACATAAGGGCCAAATAGCAGCCAGGAGCATCAGAATTGCAGCACCACTAATACGTAAACATACACAAAAGAAACAGTAGAGGGCAGCAAGGGAGAATTGTTTATGTGGAACCGAGTTAAGAGTAGCAGGACTGCAGATGAATCAAAACAGGCCTAGGAGGTTTGCTGCAGGGCACTCTTAGACAATTCCAT